AAGCCAGCCCAGAAGTGTTTTGTTCTTATCCTCTCTGGAGCCTTTCTTGTCTTTTTTCAGCATTACTGGAGTATAACTGACAAAGCTGTAAGATATGGAAAGCCTATAATGTGATGATTTGACTACCTGTACATTATGCAAAGATTTTCCCCCATCGAGTTAATGATCACATTCTTTCACCTCATATTATGTGCCTTTAAAAAAAAAAACTTTCACGAATACATTCAAGTTCTCTTTTAGTAAATTTTAGTTATGCAATACAGTGTTCCTGGAACTTTTCCTGAATCCTAATGGGATGCGTGTTTATGGGTGAAGAAAGGCTGTGTGATAGAGAAAGTTTAATAAGAGAGCTTATCAAATAGGACTATTGTGAGAGGCAGGTGCGATTTCTCAGACAATGTTGCGCACGCGCAGTGTCTGGTAGAAAACAGTAAACAACTCCTTCAGGCAGGGCAGTGAGGAAGGTGGGGAGAAAAGGAGAGAGAATCTGTCAGTCATGATTAAACGACTTGGATTCGTTTATAAATGTGAAACCACAGATTTTGACTGCTTATAAAAACTTTATTTAAGAGCATTTGTGGATTTAAGTTTTTTAAAATTAATACTGAAATTTATACAATACGCTATGGTAAACATGCCAACCCCTTTGATATTAATACATTGTTTTAAAAATAAAAAGAGCTTCTTATAAGCATATGGCCTTCTGAGGAGGGGCACAGCCAGGCACTGGACAGAATCGGCTCACACCCCTCCACCCCATGCTGAGTTGCCAGCCACTGCATGTTGGTCTCATGAGATTTGGGCTGTTGAAGTCATTAAGTAGTTCTTTCAATAGAAATATCGTTAATTGGCCAAATAAATAAGTTTCATCACTGTGTTATTAATATCGCTTAAGAGCCACTAGCATGGCATGATCTATACCCACACAGACAGTTTGTAGTTACAGTGCTTTGAAGAAGGGACCGAGAATATGCATCTTTGTGTCAGTAGCATAAACCATTGCATATGGCCAGAACCGTGCTGGCCGATCATTGTTTGGAGACCAAATTGGTTAAGTCTGAGTGAAAGAAAGGGATAATTTGTTTTGAGCCTAGTGCAGTGTTTGAAGAAGGAGCTAGGAAAGAGGGGAGAAGCCAATCATTTCTAAGAACTTCTGAAGCAAGATTTTTGGACTATTTTTTCCCCTAATCCATCACTATCAGTGTGACTCAGAAAGACACAGAGACTGAGAGTGCATGAAGACGCTACCTTCTACCTGCCTAAGCTGAGGTCAGAGGTCACCTGGATAAACACCTCTGCCAGTGATGCAGCCTCATGAACCCCGGGCAGAGTGCTCAGTGAGCATCGGTGGAACAGCCTCAGAGTGATCTGCCCAGGTGCTCACTGGCAGGAGGTGGGCCTGTACCTGTCCCATCGAAACTGATGGCTGGCATCAGAGAGCTCTAGTCCAGAGGTCGCCAACCTTTCGGACCTCACGGACCACCAGTGGTCCACGGACCACCCGTTGGCGACCGCTGCTCTAGTCCATGGTCATGGTGCATTCTGCCATCTTCTCCAAAAAGTCCACTTCACTTTTTTCTCCCAGCAGTAACCACCCATTTATCTCTTTAAGGCAAATCAGAAGTATTCTTTCCCCCCAGGATGCTGCCTCCTTTAGGGGAGGGCAGGTGGGTAAGAGATTGGGCCTTCAGAGTGGACAAAAGCTAGATTTAAACATTTTGACCCATGAATATTATGGTTCCAAATAGGGTTAAGAGGCACAGTCTAGCAATTTCCTTTCCTTTCTCATTCCCATCAAAACCAACCAACAAACAAATCAAAACTAAAACAGATTCTTTGGGTTAAGCAACTCTCCCAGGTTAAAAAAAAAAGTTTATTATCTCTCCTCTATCATTATCTTCAGTTACATTTGCAAGAATTTCGTTCATATGCCTCTTTTTTTGTTCTAGCCAGTTTTGCTCAGTGGCTAGAGCATCAGCCTGCTAACTGAAGGTTCCCGGATTTGATTCCGATCGAGGACACATACCTCGGTTGCACACTCGATTCCCAGCCCTGGTCAGGGCTCATGTGGGAGGCAAATTAGTAATCTGCGTCTCTCTCACATCGATGTTTCTCTCTCACTGTCTCCCCCCCCCTTCCACTCTCTCTAAATATCAACAGAAAAATATCCTCGGGTGAGGATTAACAACAACAACAAAAAAGTCACGTCTCTTTTCAGGTCTTAAAACCTTGTCTGGTCTTTTCACTATTTCTCTCAATAAACAGAAAGAACACTTACGCCACGTCCCAGAATTTCAGGTCCAGTTGAAGGGGGACATTATAAAACAAACACACTGTTAGAAAAGGGCACGACTTCTCTGCTTTGTTCCCTCAAATAATCAAATGTAATAATGATAACAGTAATAAACATGTACTGAGTGTTTTCTCTGTGCCGAGCACTGTTCTTAGCACTTAAAAGTACTAACTCTGAAAATTCTCTAAGGGAAGTGCAATTACTATTCCCATTTTACAAATCAGGGACTTGAGTCCCTCAGAGGTTTATGAACTTCCCCAGGAGATAAGGAAAGGACAGAAGGGGCGCTTGGCTCTTGCCGACTGAAAACACTCTGTGGCTCTTATTAGCTGCCCGACCCCCCCTCACCAGGCTGGGAAGAACTGGGGGATGCTGACAGCCTCTGATTAAATGTGGACTGACTGGGCTCTTGAGCAAAGGGCTGCTGGTCCGGTGGACATGCCCGTCCTCAGCAAAGCAGCCCATCGCCGCCCACTCTCAGATCAGTGTCCCCCTCCTCCGCACCCTCTCCGTCATCGTCTCATAGAACCCTGCTCTTTTTCTTCATGCTTCACACACAGGAACAGTTCGTAGCCCATTGGTGATCTTCGTTTAATTCCTTCTCCCCCCATCTCATCAGAAGCCCTGGGAGGGCACCGATCCCTTCAGAGCACCGTGAGTGTTCAGTAACTGAGAATGCTTCATTCACACATTCCACAAGCGCACTCACAGGTCTCTCCTTTTGGAGGTACCGGGTTTAGATACTTGAACTATACCGTGTATTTATTTGGTGACACTCCGTGTTTTCAAACTAAACCCCCCAGAGAATGTTTTCTTCTTTAAGAGCCAACACTGTCAAACCCTAGTTTTCTTAGAAAGAATTGTTCTAGCTGTTGTCCTTGTCACTCCAAACTGAAAAACAGTGGGCTGTGTGGGCCCCGTGTGTTTGTCCCAATATAGGATGACAATTGTGTTATTTTTTTTATTGCTTTCTCAAAATGGAAGTTTTCTCTCTGCATTTGAGTTGCCTATCATTCTCCTGAAACGAAGGAAAAAAAAAAAAAAGCTTTCAAACTGGTTTGTCCAGTTAAGGCACTTAAAGGGTTTAAGCCTTTGATATGAGTTTAACCAAGTTAGGAAGTTACTAAGGCTGGAGGGCTTTCAAGAATAATTCACTTTTTTTTTTTTTCAAAAACAGTTGAATCTGTTCACTCTGTTGGAGACTGTAAATGGTGCCCCTTGCAATGGTGCAGCTTGAAGAGGTGAGGGTCCTATTCAGGGCCCTGTCCAGCGGAGATTGGCTCACAGGGTAGCTGCGAGTTTAAAGAAGGGACTGATTCAAACTCTGGCTTCCCACCTGTGACTTGGGCAGAGTTCATGGTTTCTATGAACTTGAACATGCCATTCCCCTGCTCTGGTTTCTCCATCTGTGAAGGGAGGGGGTGCTGGCACCCCTTTAGGATCCCCCGCACTCTGAGTTTCTTTAACTCACTTATCCAACAAATATTAGCAGCCAATCAATATTTATTACCTGTAAATGTGTGGCACACACCGGGGTGCCAGCGCGGCGCCTGCCCTTTGTAAGTGCGTACCTTGAAACTGTACATCAGAGGTGGTGGGGAGAAGGTGCCTTTTGTTTGTTTCCTTCACTGAAGATAGACTAAAGCACGCAGTCTGTGGCCTGAGATCACTTGGACAGGGGGGAGGGTAGTTTTAAACAGGGTCCTGAGTATTTAAGCTAAGACATAAGCGATGAGCCAAGCCAGTTGGAGGGAGAAGATGGCAGTGAAAGAAGTGTGTGCAAACTCCCTTACGCGTGTGTAGGGGAGGAAAAGTCATTTTCTCTTTATCCCTTATTCACCTAAGAAATAAAAAGCCAAAGTGAGAGGCCACAGGTGTTTATTTAATTTCATAGAATTGCAGTCTCAGGGCACAGATTCAGGCAGAAACCCAAGCTGTGCCCTGATTACAGGGTGAGGACAAGGGGTTTTGTGAGACATGCAAGGGAAATGTTTGCATGAATGAAGGAACGATTTCTACTGGTGCTAACAAGTGGAGTAACTCACTGTTTAGCTATATGTGCTGATTGCTGATTCTATCTTCAGAGAGTCCACAATCACAGTGCTTGTGGTCAGGATGTCTGCTTTCCTGTTAGTTTTGCAAACAATTATGTCGTCTAAGACAATGTGGCTTCGGCTCAGTCCAGAGGTTATGTTGTCTACTTCAAACTTTCCGAAGGTTCAAGGAGCAAGACATGCAAGCAGTTCCTCTGGGCTGACTTCTGGCTCTATTATGCCAACTTTTCACACCTTCTAGGTTCTTGGCTGAGATACGCCTGTAATAAAACAGACTTAAGGTAGTGGCTTGGGCCAGTTCCAGGAGTTACTCAGTTTTCCTGAGTATCTCCCATGTAGAGAGGAACGTATACATGTCATTAAACATGTTTGTTTTTCTCCTGTTAATTTGTTTTTTTTATTACAGGGGGGTTCTCAGCCAAGAACCTGGAAGGAAAGAGGGAAAATTATTCTTCCTTTCCCATAGTGCCGGTATTAGCTTTCCCACTTACTATCTTAGCCTCGGTTTCCTCATCTGTAAAATGGGAGTGATAAGAGTTGCAAGTAAAATGAGAAGATACGCGCATGCATTTAGCACAGTGCCTGCACCACAGGAAGTGGCCAATAAGCAGTTGCTGGAATCATTGATGTTTTCTTTGTATTTGGCTTTTCAGTCAGGTCTAATAAGGACACGAAAAAATGAATTCCTCATCTCGCCATTACCTCAGCTACTGGCCCAGGAACACAACTACAGCTCACCTGCAGGCCACCATCCTCACGTACTGTACAAAAGGACCGCCGAGGAGACGGTCCAGCGTTACCATGGCAACCCAGGCTCCAGCCAGATTTATCCTGGTCATACCCTCAGTCACACTCCCCACACGTACCAGAGTCAAGAAAGAGAGCATCACCATCGAAGGTCGCAAAAGCAGCATTTTTGTGGACGACGCAAGAAATGTATGTAAGGAAACTTTTTCTTGTTCTGTTCTTATGTGGGCGCTCGATAGGCTTTGTTGAGTGCCATTGGGTGTGCTGACTTTGCAGATTAAGATGGGGTTACACTGAGCGCCCCCAGAATTTAGTCTTGGGGATGGAGCAGACATCACCCTGTCAGGCAAACACTAGGTGATCAGTTCTCAATTTTTTTCAGATAAACTAGGAAAGATTTTTACATGCTTTTTTTGTCATTCTTTTAGCATCTCCTACATTTTAGTCACAGGCTCTACTGTTATCTCTGTACTCATGAGAAAAGCACCCAGTCTTCCAATAACTAAAGAAACCAGAGGTGAATCCTCAGGGATGGTTGGTGTTCCTTTTGAAGATTTGAAGGAGAAACTTCCCAGGAAATAAGAACATTAGCACCTGAGTGGAATTAGCTGGACCTGTGGGCATGTTTGTTGACCCAGGCACAGCCTTCTGCATTTTCTAGACCAGCAGTGCCAGTAGAAATATAAGGCCAGCCCCAAATGTAATTTTAAATGTCCTAAGAGGCACATCTTTTAAATTTAAAAATGGTTAAATTAATGTTGATAATATAGATTTAAAAATATATTTCATTTAACCCAATATACACAAAATATCATGTTAATATGTCATCAATGTGACAAACTACATTTTTAAATGTTAAGTTTTGGAAATCTAGTATTTAGTTTGCACTGAGAGCACAGTTTCAAGTGAGATGATAAACTCTCATCAGAAACACTCAATCTATATTTAGGTTTCATAACATTTAAGGTTGAAAAAGTAGATTTACATACATTCAAGTTGTTCCACACATGCTTGAGCTTTTTAATAACTGAATCAAGTATTGCTTTTTAAATACAACTTTACATTAAATTAAACTTAACATTGACTTCCTCCATTGTCACCACATTTCAAAGGCAAGTAGCTGGACAGGCAGCCAGGTGATGGTCCCACCCCTGGAGAAGGGGAGCTCCGATGGCTGAGGTCTTGATTGGGAGCTATAATGAAAGGCCGTGTTTTTACCATCTTAATTGGTTTTTGCATTTGGAGTGGTACGGACACACTCTCTTTTAGAGACATCTCCTTGGCATGGGTCTACAGTAATAGTCGTATTGATCATTGTAAAGATATTCACAGTGGCAGTGAGAGATGAGAACTAAACTCAAGGTCACCCATCAACATGGCCAACCTGAGTTTTTAAATCTGCCTCTAACTGGTTTGTTCCTTTAATTTCACGCCGTGGAAAGAGGACGTCACTATTGTAACTATACCAGTTGTTAAAGCACTAAAATAATTCCATATTCGTTTACATAGTGACTGGGCTTTCAAATGCCCTTTTCCTTCCCAGCCACCCTGGGACTACAGGGGCCATGCCTGGCCCAACAGGCCCATTCAGGGCTCTGCGCAAAGGCCATGGCCAGCGTCCATTCTGTTGAGGTGGTGCCCACGCTTTCCCTGTTACAAAATATTTATACTTTCAAATATCAACCTGACTCTGCTGTTCCCCTATAACTAAGTCAATATCAGGCAAGAGACCTGATTTGACCACTTATTTTGTGCTACATTAAAGTTCATGTTGATGAAACAGAGTATAAGACATGGGCAGTATTCTACAGGATATACGTTTCTAATTTTATTTAGAAAGTAATATATAAAGTGTTATGAATTCAGACGCAAAGAATGATACCTATTTCTGCAGTTTTTAAACACTAAAATAAATTAGCACTTTCTGTTTTTAAAGACTACGCTCACAAAATTGATTTTTCTTGACCCCCTAGAATTGTATCTTTTCTTTTACTTGTTAGAGCATTTTCATTTATTGAATCCATCCATCCACCCACCTATCCATCCATCCATCCATCCAAACTTCTATTGAATGAATCTTTTTCTTTTTACTTACCAGATGAAGACTTTATTTTATTTTATTTTATTTTAAATTTTTATTGTTGGAGTATTACTGCTGCCTTTATAATTCTCTTTTTGTCTTTATCCCTTGGCATTTTAATTATGATGTGTCTCTGTGTCCATGGGTTATGCATACAAGTGAATGAATTGCTCTTGACCACAAACTTGGTGCAGAGCCTCAGGACAGGCACTGATGGCATCATAGATGAGTGAAGTGTTGGTTACAGAGTCCTTCTCCTCCCCTGGTTTAGATGTCTGCCTATCTCTGTACTACCAAATGCTCTGTACTGATATCCCTTCCAAATGCTCTTCTGTTCATTGTAGATGCCCCCAAGCCTCCCACAGGGGACACCTATCTCAGGTTTGATGAATACGGGAGCACAGGGAGACCCAGAAGATCAGCTGGGAAGTCACAAAAGGGCCTAAACGTGGAAACCCTGGTGGTAGCAGACAAGAAAATGGTGGAAAAGCACGGCAAGGCGAACGTCACCACGTACATCCTCACAGTCATGAACATGGTAAGCGGGGCTGTCGGGCTCCAGCCCTCCTGGCTCTCTGCGACAGCTAGAAAGCAGAGAATCCCCGCTATGGGTTGACTAGAGGATGCAGCCGTGTGTTTTTCTTGAGAGAAAAAAAAAGTGTTGAAATTGGCTTCATTGTACATATATTTGGTAAAACTAAAGCCTTTATACATATAAATATTACTAATTGGTTTCCCACCACCTCAGTTCTGGAAACTTTCAGATTTTGTTTTTGACTTTGCATGTTCCAACAGGTTTCCAGCCTATTTAAAGACGGGACCATTGGAAGTGATATAAACATTGTTGTGGTGAGCCTCATTCTTCTGGAACAAGAACCTGTAAGTGGCAAACTTCATTTATTTCTTCACTCAGGATACACTTATTAAGTATCTGCTATGTGCCAATCTTGTACTTACTGGTCATTAGAAATTTGAATTTGAAACTATGCTGATCCTACTCTCAAGGAAAGTATAGTCTAATAGGGTTGTACAGTCAAATAGCTAAAACATTACAAAATAAGTATCTGCATATATATATAGTATATATGCATATATAATGACAAAATATGATTAACTATGCATATATAATATGAATACAAATGTAAAATATAAATTATATACAAAAATATAAATATTACGCAGGCTTCATAAGGAAGGTGCATTTGGTAATAGATTTAAGGGTAAATTGGATTTTGCAAGTTGGATAGGCTGGGTAATAGCAGGTATATGCAAAAGGATATTTTGAAAATAAGTCATCAGAAAATTTTTGTAGTAAACCTACTGTCTCCGCAGCACCATCTTGGGTACTATAGAGAATAAACAAGGAATATGCAGCTGCCCTGATTGATTACAGTGAGGTGCAAGGGAAAGGCCTGGGGTAAATGATACAATCAGAACACATAGTCAAGTGTTAAATGGCACGACACTCACTGCTTTGTAGTAGTTTGATGTTAACGCTGTATTTTTCTCAGTTGGGGATTACCAATTAAACAGACTATTTTTAAAGTCTCCTGTGTCTTTTTATCTTTATCTCTAGCCCCAATAATGAACATGGAAGGCAGGGAGTCAGAGACAAAAGGAAAATAAATCTAATTGCCCAGGTGTGTAGAGCTACAGAGGTTAACAACTTGTCAAATGATTCTTGGAATTTTAGGAAGGAAGAAATGGTGTGTGCTGTTTGAGAGACACTTTTGTCTTTAACCTTCCACTTACACCTTCCTCAAGGACATTGAAGCCCCAGCATCCTAATTCACTCAGAATTGAATATCTATAAGAACCCTCAAATTGACTCAAGTCAATAATTTAAACAAACATTTCGATTAAAAATTATTATTTAAAAAAAATACATTTTTATTGACTTTTAGAAAGAGAAGAAGAGAGATAAAGAGAGAAAAACATCCATCGGCTGCCTCCTGCACACTTTCTACTGGGGATTGAGGCTGAAACCGGGCATATGCCCTGACCAGGAACCTAACGAGTGACCTCTTGGTTCATGGGTCATTGCTCAACCACTGAGCCACGCCAGCCAGGCAAAAAAAAAGTATTTTAAGGGTAGATTCTATCTTACCCTTTAGAACCTTGTAATTATTTGTTTCTGCATTCTTTCAATGAGCTTTCATTTGACTGGTTGGTTGGTTGGTTGGTTGGTTGGTTGGTTGATTGATTGATGGTAACCTCTGATATGCCAAGCCCTTTCTTGGAAATGTTGATATAGGAGTAACTGAGCTATACTCAACTACGTTTCTCATGTTCTATTGAGGAGGCATTGAACTTTGTCACATTAATTTACAATTATATTCTAAAAGTTTTAATACTTTTGTAAAGGTGGAACCAGCAAGAGATGAACAAGGGTGTTGCTAACCAATGTCAGGTTCCTTGTTGTAGAAATATAATTGACCATAAACTACACTACTGAAACTGTGTAGTTACTTTAAATATTGTGAGCACTTACCTGAAGTAGATTTTAGGCGTTTTTCTTCTTTCTTTCTTTTTTTTTTAACCAATTGTCACCAACCTTAGCTCAAGTTTTTTCCTCTACTGACCTTTCTCCCTAGAAACATTCTGTTTCTGTGTTTGCCTGTAGAAATGGAATGATTCAACGTTCTCATCTCTGTGACAAATTCACACTCTGATTTGTGTGGGTTTCCCATAGGGAGGATTATTGATCAACCATCATGCAGACCAGTCTTTGAATAGTTTTTGTCAGTGGCAGTCTGCCCTCATTGGAAAGAATGGCAAGAGGCATGACCATGCCATCTTACTCACGGGATTTGACATTTGTTCCTGGAAGAATGAACCATGTGACACTTTAGGTATGGTATGAACAGATGCTTCCCACACACCTCTGGTAGCTGAAAACACAGTATGGAATCTTTCTATTGGGTGGGTGGCCCTTATGATCGTTAATAAGGAGACCTCATACTTAAATGGTGGAGTGTCCTCACCGTACCCTCTTGTGAGTATTGTTCTATTTAACTGAGCTCAGTCCAGAAGGGGGAGCCCACTTCCTTTATTCCTTTCTGTGTTTTTCTTTTTAACTCTATGGAGGCTCATTGAGGCATGAGATGAATTATTTAACTAGAGAAGCCGTGGTTTATTCCATAAGCATCATGACTGCAGAGCTGGGTGGCTGAAGAGAATGTGATTGGTCTCCATGGTACTGAACTGTGCTTCTTGGTAGCAGTGTGTCCTTTAGGAAGTTAGTTGAGCTTTGAAGGAATCAGCCCTCCTATATTTGTACAAGACAGTGAGTGAGCACTAAAGCTTCTACATCTGTACTATGTTTTCTAGTGTATTCTATTGCATATAGTAGGGATTCAACAATTTGTTTAATGAATTGATGGTCATCTAGATCAATATTGATGGTGATGGTGGTGGTGGCGATGGTGCCATCCATGATGCATGCCTGTGCATTAGGCCCCCGGTGATCTCACACCCTGACTGTAAGGTGGGCACAGTCCATTCACAAGTGTGCGTTTAACACTAACTGGGTACGTAGCCCTGCTCTACTGGTTATGAGGACTCAAAACTTGGGAGAAACCAAAATCGTGTAGTTTAAGATACAATCAAGGACTGGCTGGAATGATTTTATAACTGTTCTCAGAAGGAACTAGTTTTTGGAAACAGGAATATTTATCACATTATAGTGAGCAGGAGAAAAATGAATTTAATCTATTCACATTGTTTAGGCATTTTCATGTTATATGCTTTAGAAATAGGCCAGAATGTGTGTTCTCTTAGAAAACAAATCTTGAGCTTTGATGCTAATACTACTGTTAAGTGAGCATTTTGCATTGGTTTAGGGATCATTTCATCAGCTCCTCTGACCCAAATAATAAACTTAGATAAGGCATATAAATGTTCTGTGACTTACTGTCCTATATATAAAATGAGAATTACAATATTCAACTTCAAAGTGTTGTTAGGAGGATCAATTGATGATAATATCTTTAGAAGAAAGAAAATATTAAACACTACATTCATGTGTTTGGACAGGAGAGAGAACCATATTAGTGTTTTCCTGCAAAAAAACCCCCACAAAAACAAACAAAAAACCCCCACAAATTAATGAATTCATTAAACTAAAACTATGCAGAACATTTGGAGCACATAAGAAATGATGAGGTATCTGTATGGTGTATTCCCTTTGGACTAACATTTGAAACTGATCTTTCAATAGGGTTTGCCCCCATCAGTGGAATGTGCAGTAAGTACCGAAGTTGTACCATCAATGAGGACACGGGGCTTGGCCTGGCCTTCACCATCGCTCATGAGTCAGGGCACAAGTAAGTGACTTTATATGGAAACGGTGATTCATTGACATTCCCCTAATGATTATTATTGATATAAGTAGAATACTTAGGATAAGTCTGTGTAAAGCTGAGAATACTGCCTGACTGGATGAAGGGCTCAATAAAGGCCATTGTGGATGCTGCGCTTTTTAAACAACAGCATTTAGTAACCACATTACATTCTGCAAAAATTAACTTCGGGTTGTCTAATAAATCCTCTGGCAACTTAGGCATTTGTTTATATTCTTTCATGTTTTACTGAAGATACTTTGAGTTTATTATAATAAGGAAATAATGATGGAGACATGTAAATTCTCCAAAGTAATGGCATGTTAATTGTTTAAAAACTTTTGATGCATTTTCTAGATATTCTCTTAGTGGCATCATTGCAGGCACTTTTGTGAGAATATAGTTAGGAATGAGGAATCAGAAACCTAAGAGAAATGAGATGGATGTATTTTACAAGGCATATGATCTAGTGTGGATACAATTCTACAGAGAATTTTTAAACATTATTTGAGCAACAGCATCTACATTGGGATAAGCATACTGCTTTGCAAAATGACTATTTCAAGGGCAAACTCTTTGGATGTATGAGTTTAAGCTTGTGTGTGTGTGTGTGTGTGTGTGTGTGTGTGTGTGTGTGTGTGTATGTGTGCCTTATATTTGACATTTATATTGAATGCCCATTTTCAGAACTTAAATTAATTTCTGACTTAAAAATAAAAGCAAATGTCATCTATTCCACAACTATAATTTATATTTGATATTTTGGTGTTAGTCTCTCATGAGCTAAATTTATTATCTCTAGGAAATTTGAATCCTGACCATACCGTTATCTAATAATTTCCTAGAATTTTATGTATATACACAACTGCTTTCATAGCAAGATATGAATGAACCAATTTTACCATGAATGGCGGTGGTGCAAAAATGTCCATTAGGCACAAGACCCCTTTGTACAGAGCAGGAAATAAAATATCTGTGAATGTCAAATGTATATCTAAATTTGTTTCACCAACACGAAGTCCAAATTAACAGGTCTCTCACTTTTCAAAATACTGGCCATTAAAAACTTGACTCATTCTTGGTTATGAGTTAAAGTAACCAAAATTGAAATCCAACATTTTAGTAAGGAAAAACAAAGACATTCTCCAGATGGGGTGAGGAGAGAATGGTCAGAATTAGAAGAAAGAACAGATATAAAATAAAATATACATACTCACGTTCTAAAATAGCCTTATAGGGGTAAATTTTGAAACAGACATTTCATGAGATTTTGATATGCCTTTTGACATGTGCTACGGAAAATGTATATTATTCTCTAAAATGCTGTTAAATCAAAATAAATTAGAAAAGTTAACATTTTAAAGTTCAAAATTCAATTCAAACTTGATTTTATTATGTTCATAAAACTCCAGTGAAATGCTAATTTAATTACCATTTCCACTTTAAATAAAGACTTTCATCTCTCCTCACCCATTCCCATCTGTCTGATTTTTACCCTTTCCTCTGGTTTTGATATATGAATTTCCTTCTGGTTTTGACTTTCACAAATACGTTTAGAAAGGAGTGTCTCCCAGACTAACTCCCTTAGTCTCCTGGTTCAGTATAAAGAAGAGTTGAATTGGGCAAAGCTGAGTAGGAGAAAATGCTTTCTCCGAGTATTTGTTGAAGAAATAATACCTATTTGTAACAAAACAAAACAAAGACAAAAACTATTTGTGAATCTGCCACCTATAAATAGCGGGGCATTCCCTGATCCTGTCACGGTGCACAGCCATCTGGGGTTACCTGCCTGGTCAATTGAGAGGAATGTTAGAAAAACGGCTAGTTTTAGACGTGAGTTACAATGGAATCCCACTTATGGTTGTAACATAATTATCTATTTACATTACATTGTAATATGTTATCTGGTAGAGGCTACCTTCAAAGGATAACTACATAAATAAGATTATATCGGAAGAACGTGTTTATTTCCACAGGAATCCTATCTGCTTCATAAAAATATGTTTTTTTCAGAGGCAAATTATGCTCCTTTAGATATTTTTGTTTTGCTTTATTTTTTAATATATTTTTATTGATTTCAGAGAGGAAGGAAGAGGGAGAGAGAGATAGAAACATCAATGATGAGAGAGAACCATCAATAGGCTGCCCCCTGCTCGCCCCTTACTGGGGATCGAGCCCACAACCCAGGCATGTGCCCTTGACCGGAATCAAACCTGGGACCCTTCAATCCGCAGGCTGGCATTCTACTCACTGAGCCAAACCAGCTAAGGCCAAATTATGCTCCTTTAAATAATTAGGTTAAGAACAATCTAAGTTAATGATAAAGTTGATATCTGTCTATTATCTGCCTCTCTAGAAGAACCCAAAAAGCTTCCTGGTGAACTGAGTTTTTTAGAGATGATTAAAGACAGTTATTCTCCTATCCTCTACCACTTTAATATGGCCTGAAGTAAGCACTTTGTGGTGTGTGTATTACACATGGGTTTGTACATCACTGTCACATTTATTCTCCCAGTCAGGAGATTTAGGAACCATGTAGGTGTAATGTGCATGATTTATAGGGAGTAAACCACCTAAAATTATTTTTACTCTGTAATTGCTAGAACCTTCTGTGTAAAATGGGACAAATCAAAGTTTTCTCATAAAATGCACTCAAAAGAAGTCTTTTATATGCCTTCAATAGACAGGTTCAGCCACTAATTTGTAAAGAAGTTTATGATTTAATTATGACCAGAGTTTGCGATTTCAGCTAATAAATGGGTCACCATTACAAGTTTGTGTCACACTAGCTGTATGCATGAACAGCCCACAGCTTTCTATCAGCTTCTCTCTGTACCTACCTCCTACTCACGCTAAACTTTCTTACCAAAGTTCCACAGTTGGTGGCAAGAAATTTTGCTATTTCAATAAAAAATAATTTGACTCCCTCTTCACTTCAGTTTAGCTTAAAAAATCTTGACCAAAAAATTTTCCCCCTTAAAATTCGTAGCAGGCATACCATTCTTTGATTTTTTTGCGGCCAAGACATACTATAACAAAGCTGTCAGCATTCTTTAAAATTTTCTCCATGAATTTCACAACACTTTATGTAGTAATTCATTTTTGTATTTCCATTTTCTTATAATCTTTTCTTTTGAAATATATTTTTATTGATTTCAGAGGGGAAGGAAGAGGGAGAGAGAGAGAGAAACGTCAGTGATGAGAGAGAATCATTGATCGGCTACCTCCTGCACTCCCCACACTGGGGATCGAGCCCACAACACGGGCGTGTGCCTTGACCAGGAATTGAACTATGACATCCTAGTTTATAGGTTGGTGCTCAACACTGAGCAACACGGGGCTGGGCTTGTCTTACAACCTTGATCACTCTCTCTCCCTTGGGCTCCTTGATTCTTAGGGCACCATTTTTCTCCGCTGATTATAATCAGGGAAGTGGTTGTTCACAGAAGGCTTTGTTGTTTGCTTCAGCTTCGGCATGGTTCACGATGGAGAAGGCAACCCCTGCAGGAAGGCTGAAGGCAATATCATGTCTCCCACACTGACCGGAAACAATGGGGTATTTTCATGGTCTTCATGCAGCCGGCAATATCTCAAGAAATTCCTTAGGTAAGACAGGCCCAAGCAGGGCTGCTCCCAGGTTTGGAGCGGTGCCAACACACAGTGTTCAAGAAGTGTGACAACAAATGTGCAGTGGGAATATCTTCTGACCCCCAATGAACAGAAAGGCTGACACATTCCGATGACGATGATGGTGGTGGTGATGATGATGATGATATTGTCATTGTTGAAAAAACACATTAAAGGCCTAATACTGTGCTATATGCTCTCCACACGATGTCTCATTCAATCCTCACAGCAATCCTATTATTTCCTCATTCTAGAGCTGAGGAAATGGAGGATAATTGTGTTGCCTAAGGTTCTCCATCTGCTAAGTTACAGACATAAAACCCACACTTACGTCTAATAGGAATCCAAGATCTGTGCTTGTAACTATTTCTTCTTATGACCTCCAGAGATTGCTAGATGTATGGGCTTTTCACTGTGACTAATTATTTTAATCTGATTAATCAATTTGGTTGTAAGAGTATTAAAACACACTAAAATGGTGTGCATGATATTAATGAATGGAGATTGCCTTGATTGGCTATTTTGTTTGGAATGGTTGAGAGCTAGTTCTATGTCCAAACGATATCCAAAGGGGATGATAGCTATGTAAAATTTATTTTATAACTAAGAACTCTTATATTACATTAATAAAGTGTGAATTACAAAGGTAGCACTACTTGATTCATATTAAATGATGAACCCAAAGTTGAAACTCTCTGAAGTTTCCTTTAATTTTATTTAGCAATAATATATATTTGACTATTTGACCATTGTAACAGCACTATATAGTTATATGCATGTAGCTATCTATATCTTATTAATCTGTTGACTCTAAGAACTCTCAGGTTCTAATCCCATCTCCCTTTGACCAGATGTTAGGGAAACTAAACATTTCTTTGGGAACTGATATTGATGCAGTAGTCTCCCCTTCTCTGTGGTTTTAGATATGTATGTTCAATCATAGTCCAAAAATAATAAATGGAAAATTCCAGAAATAAACAAATTAGAAGTTTTAAATTGCTCCTCATTCTGAGTAATGTGATGGAATCCACTCCCTCCCACTCGGGATGTGAATCATCCCTTTGTCCAGCATTTCACACCATATACGCTACCTACCCCTTCATCATTTAGTAGCTGTCTTAGTCATCATGAGCTATCAGAGAATGTGAGAGTTCACATTCACATAACTTTTATTACAAAATATTATTATAGGTGTTCTATTTTTATTACTAGTTATTGTTAATCTGTATGGTGCCTACTGCATAAACTTTATTATATGTACATATGTACAGGAAAAAGCATAGTATACATGTACTGGTGTACTATGATTTTTCAGTACTATCCCCATTTTCCGGCATCCACTGGAGGTCTTGGAGCACATCTCAAAGAAACGGGGAGACTACTGCACTTTTTTTGACCTGTACCACTGCATATTATTTACAAATATTTATAGGTTTAGCAATAGATACAGCACAGGCAAAGCTGATTAAATGTTGATGTCTAACAAATGCCGTCCCAAAAGATAGCGAGAAATTGACAAACCTTTGGCTCACAATAAGCTTTGTCACATAGATTTTCTTTTTAGTCTTAAGTCTATGATTTGGTGCCTGAAATTATCTTTTCTACCTCATGTGAGAATAGATATTATACATCAAGGTCAACTTAATATACGGGGGGGGGGGGGCGCAAAAGAAAGTTTATAGTTTATATGAAAAATAATACAATAATTAATAATAATACAAGAATAAACTCTGTTTGGGGTATTCGCAACTATAACCTACTTTTGCCCCACCCTGTAGATAGAATTTCCATTATCTATGTGAAACAGTTAAATGCTTTTGGATGATAATAGCAGCAGCAGCTGCTAACTTTGAACACTTAACTTTGCTGTGTTAAGCGCTTTCCTTTTTCTTGTTTGATCTGTGGGACGATGTTTATGGGAGTCCTGTCATAAAGGAGATGTCCGAGAGTTGCATGGCTGACCAGGACCCCCATCTGTCTGACTCCAAGGTCACACTTAGCCACCATGCTGTTTTACCTCTCATTGATATCATAGTTTCATTAAGTCAGTGGAGATAAGGTGATTTCTAAGAATAACCATGCCAATCAAGACAGCTCGTCCCAGTTAAACATGCCTCAGGGACATTGCTCTGCCTTATGCCCATGTGTCCCTTCTCCTGATTTCTTTCAAAAACCTGATTCACTTTTTACTTGTCAATATCATCTGAGGTAAAATACATCTTTGATTACTTCCCCATTATCTATAAAAAATATATCATCACTTTAAACTCCATGAACATGGGCACTCTCTGTGTGTTTAGTTTATTCTGCTCCCTTAGTGCTTAGCCTATGCTGTCCACAGAGTAGGCACACAATAAAAATCTGTTGAATATTATTGAGCAAGACTGTTGGGGAAGGCTTTTAATATGTTGACCTTGCCCATCTCTTCGCAGGCCAGGCCAGGTCACTTGGATGGCTGTAACTTCAGTACCACATGAAACCCTTTATGACTGTATAAATTTCATCTTAAACAGGACAAAACTCACTATTTGGAATAAATACGCATTTCAACCTTAAGCACATACCTATTTCTTTAGCCATGTTATATTTTTCTCTGCACGAATGCATTCAGAGGTGCATGATTTGAAGTTGCAGATCACAGATAAACAAGGTCATTAACAAGGCTGTGTTGTCCCTGCAGTACACCTCAGGCTGGGTGTCTGGTGGATGAGCCCAAGCAAACAGGACAGTATAAATATCCGGACAAACTCCCAGGACAGATTTATGATGCCGACACACAGTGCAAGTGGCAATTTGGAGCAAAAGCCAAGTTATGCAGCCTTGGCTTTGTGAAGGTATGTTTGCTTGTGATTTGAAACTTACATTAAGATCCTGCCATGCGTCTGTGTACCTAACCGAAGTATAAACATTTAGTTTGCTAAGGCCAAGGGTTGGAGTCTGGGTTATCTCGAAGATGTCAGTTGTTTGGCATGAAAATTAAGTGGCAATTTTACCATCAATGAATTATCCAGCCTTATCCCCCATAGACCATGCCTGGTTTTAATACCATCTGACTGCATCCTTGAAAGAACATTCCTCTGCTGTAGACGGAGATTTTTATCTCAAGTAGTAAATCTGGGTACCATAGCTTTTACCTACAGCTCATCTCTGTTTTCGGTATCATCATGTTCACATTCCCTTTTAATATGATATGTTTGAAATAATCACCACCCAAAATACCTACATGTGCCTTTTATATTATACAGAAACTCTTGATGGCAGCCAACTCTTTTTGATATGTAAACATTCAAGGTGTATCTTGAGCAATCTTAATATGTTTGTGTCAAGCCTTTCATTCATCATTTGTGAGAAAGATAGATGGGAAAAGCAAAAAAGAGGATGTACAAATAGAGGAACATTGTTCTAGTTGGTCAAAAACTACAGCACTGACAATCTCAACATCACTAAAAAGTAGATTCACTTTTAAGTTGATTTATCCCTAGCACCACAAGAGAAACATGGAAATCCTGGGTCTGGATGCAGGGAAATTATGGAATTTTAAAGCTAATTTTCCCTCCTCTGTTCCTACTCTTCTTCTTTCTATTGCTCCTCTTTTCTTCTTCCTCTTTCTCCACCCACCACTACCATCACCACCACCATTATTATCATTACCATCAATACCACCGGCACCATCATTACCAATAGCACCACCACTAAGTTCAGTTCTAGGAAATAATAACCATTAAGTCACAGTTTTTATATGGGATTACATATTTTTCTAATACAATTTAAATGTATAACTATTAGAGAAGTTTTATACATACATCATGTACAATTTTTTGGTGTGTTCTCCATGATACACGAACCTATATGATATATATAAATTAATACACTTATAACTATTTCAAATTACATATTAAGTTGATGCATTTGGCAGAGTAAATAGCCATTCACTTTGTTGAAACTGTTTGCTAACTTTGTCTCCTGGTCACTTCATTCTTAATGGATTCACTAGCTTATTCATTAATCAAATGTGTATAAAGCACTTACTCTTCAGTAAATGCACAATTGGTAATGAGTTAGAGTTTCTTTAGTAATATAAAGGAAGTTTCTAAAATTACTATCATTCCTTTAGGATCATACATTCAGCAAACATTTGTGGGTGCCTGTTCTGTGTCAGTGTGCAGGGCTTAAACAACCATTCTTAAATCCTAGACCTTTTTTTTTTTTTCTGAAAACACACCATGCTTTTGAAAGATAGCATCTCAGTGTGATGGTCTTTCTGAGGAAGCAGAGCAAAGGGAAATGGAAATTCCAGACTAAAGGATGAAATAAAATTAGGAAAGGCACAGAGATAGGAATGCCTGGCGGGGTAGGGAGATTTGACTAAGAGAGAGATCATTAACGATGACTAGGGGGTAAGATAGAGAAGGTAGGGTTGGTAGGTGGGTCTTGAATGTGGAATATTTCTCCCCCTACCGCTGACGTTTTGGTATTATTCCCAAACCTACTTATAACTTGGACCATGGCTGCGTCTCTGAGGATCATGAGGAGGTGCCTGCAGGAGGAGGGGTTTCAGAACAGCAGTCTCCTGTTCATCCTGTTGATCTCAACAGGTCAGACCAACTCCAGCAACACAAGAACAGGATGACGTTTCTGTTCAGGGTCTTCACTGTCCTATTATTATGTTCCTTTTCTGACCTTTTCTCCTTGCTGCCTATTTTTTATTTCTGTTCAGGGTCTTCACTGTCCTATTATTTTCCTTTTCTGACCTTTTCTCCTTGCTGCCTATTTTTTCCCTCAATACCTCCTAGAAAGGCAGTTTTGCATAGTGTTTAGAAGCAACAGAAAAAGGAAAAAAAAAATAAGATATCATTTTCAAAGTGTCCTCACAAACCAGCAGATGCAGTAGATTAGCATCACCTAGAACAGTGATGGTGAACCTATGACACGCGTGTCAGAGATGACACGCGAACTCATTTTTTTGGTCGATTTTTCTTTGTTAAGTGGCATTTAAATATATAAAATAAATATCAAAAATATAAATCTTTGTTTTACTATGGTTGCAAATATCAAAAAATTTCTATAGGTGACACGGCACCAGAGTTAAGTTAGGGTTTTTCAAAATGCTGACACACCAAGCTCAAAGGATTCGCCATCACTGACCTAGAACTTGGTAGAAATGCAAATGCTCCGGTCTCATCCAGGCCCAGAAAATAAAAAACTTTGGGGTAAGGCCTGGAAGTCTATGTTTGAACATGGGCTCTAAGTGAGTCAGATGCATGCTCAAGGCGGGGGGAAGCTGGGGGAGAGCTACTGAATTAGATGATCTTAAACTTTAAATACACACACAGACACTCTCACTCACTCATCCACTGGCCTTTGGCATTAGATAGACTTGAGTCTAAAGCCTTTGAAATACAACTGGAGAACATGGCCAAGGAGTGACAGGACAGAATGTATGGCATTGAGACTCTTCTCAAAAGTCACACCCAGGCAACAGGAGACCTCGTAGTCTCTGTGGTTATTTCTCTTTCCCTTAAATTATGACTTAAGTCTAGGGAATTATAGATAAGGAAAAGTGAGTCGAATATACTGGGGGGGGGGAAAGAGGGAAGAATGAGCAAAAAAGTGCAAACTCTCATTTCTGCTTACTTTGAAAGGGAGCTTTCTCAGAGGACCCCGCGGCCGTCAGAGCATGTAGTCGGCTGTAATTACGTTTGACTTCTGTGCTTCACCACAAAAGAAATAACATGTTCGTGCAGCTGCCTGACTTCGCTCTGGAATCCCTGTGTTTTTGTGTTTGGCTTTATTTTCCTGGTCTTCTCGGGCTGCCCCCTTCCCTTCGCCCTGTGGCTTGGCGTTGGCGGTGGAATCTGGGCCTCTGCTTCTGTCTGCCCTGGGTCATCTCGGTGCCTGCCACATAGGCGCTGGGAGTGTGTTTGTGTTACGGCTGTCCCCTGGCTGTAAGAAGGAAAACAATTTAATCCTGAAAGCCTTTCTCACTGTGGCTTTCACGGTTTCAATGGTCACATCCAATTCTTCCACTTTTTTATTATTTTGTTTTTTATGTCTTTAAAAATATTTTTTATTGATTTCAGAGAGGAAAGGAGAAGGAGCGAGAGATAGAAACATCGATGATGAGAGAGAATCATTGATCGGCTGCCTCCTGCACGCCCCACACTGGGGATCGAGACCGCAACCTGGGCACGTGCCCTGACCGGGAATCGAACCTCGACCTCCTGGTTCATCGGTCGACGCTCAACCACTGAGCCACGCCAGCCGGGCCATTCTTCCATTTTGCTGTAGACTGTTCTTTTCCCACATTAACTTGTCGCCCTCAGGCCCAGCGTCACATGATACGGTGGCGCACAGAGATGAGGAACCTGATTCATGGTGCTGGGAGGCTGCCCTATGCTTTCTCCTAATGTCAATGGCAGGTCCATTTCCATGGGAACATGTTGTGTCTTCTGAGCTGTTTGGAGGTTTGGAAGTGGCACGTGTGGCACATGTCGGGCTGCTGGTGGCAGCGGTGTTTCCAAGTGGTGTCCTGAATAGCCTGCCCATCTCTCTGGGGAACGGGGGGTAGGATTTTATGGTCTGCAATAGCACACTCACTGCACACATCTTCACTTCCCCTGTGTTTTCTTTTCTCCGTCCTGTGGAAAACTATTTTGTGAAATATTTCTAAGTATGTCCTTGCTATATGTTCTAACCGTGAAATCCATATTAACCCGAATGCTCGGGGAATTGGGTGCCTGGTTAATTGAATTTTCAGGGCTACGACAAGTGACCACAAAAACGATTTTGTTTCCAACCTGGTGGTTGATATTTCCCCCAAAAGCAATGTGTTCACACTTCTACCTTGGTTAATAGAATGTAGCAAATAAAATTAAATCATTTTGGCGTTTTGTGATTTTGACATTTTATTAGCGACGTCATTCCGAAGAGCAGCTTCAACTGTGTGAGCTGGAAGGAGTCTGGTTCAGTCCCCTTTCTTTATCGTCAGGCAGCGGAGGCCTGGAGAAGGGAGAGCTTTCTAACATCCATTGATGGTAAATCCCGGTCCATAGCAGTGATCAAGGGCCTGCATTGGAATCAGGCCATTTGGGGTCCTGCCTTTGCCACTTACCAGCTGTGTGACATCATGGCTTTGAACGTATCAGTAGCTTTCTCAGTTTCCTCATCCAAATGAGTTTTTATAATGAACTGGTTTAGTGTCTTCCACTAAAAGGCATTAAGATTAGTTTCCTATGGCTGTCACAATAAATTCCCATAATCGTAGTGAGTTAAAACAACACACGTTTATTTCCTTACAGACCTGGAGGCAGGCATCTGACGTGAGTCTCACTTGGCTAAGATCCGGTGTTGGTAGGGCTGTGTTCCTTCTGGAGGCTCTAGGACAGTGATGGCAAACCTTTTAAGCTTGGCGTGTCAGCATTTTGAAAAACCCTAACTTAACTCTGGTGCCGTGTCACATATAGAAATTTTTTGATATTTGCAACCATAGTAAAACAAAGACTTATATTTTTTGATATTTATTTTATATGTTTAAATGCCATTTAACAAAGAAAAATCAAAAAAATGAATTCACGTGTTACCTCCGACACGCATGTCATAGGTTCGCCATCACTGCTCTAGAAGAAAGCCACGTTCTTGCCTTCTCTAGCTTCAAGAGGCCTCCTACATTCCTTGGCTCATGGCCCCTTCCTCTATCATCAGAGCCAGCAGCATCCCCAAGTTTGCCTCCCACTCTCATCTCCCAAGTTCTCTTCTGTCTTCCTCTTCCCCATTGTATGGACCCTTGTGATTACCTTGTGCCCTTCTAGAAAATTTAAGATAGTCTCCCGATCTCAAGGTCAATGGATGAGCCGCCTTAGTTCTCTGTAACGTTAATGCTTCTGTGCTATATAACCTCACATACTCAGTTTCCAGGGATTAGGAGGGTGTGGTCATTGTTGGGGGGCTTTAGCCTGCCTACTACAGAATAGCATGGGAGTTTATGTATTTCATAGACCTACTTCGAGAATTAAACTGTCTAAATGCTTGACAATTACTATAAAGATAAAGAAGGTAATGACAGTGATCACTTACATCCTGTATCCTTGAGAAGAACCCTACAGGGGCACGTGCTAACATGATCACTATTTGGCAGAGGAAGAAACTGCGCTTACAGGCCTTCCAGAACACGTGCACAGGGCATGCAACCTGGAGTTTCCAGACAAGGATTGGAATCGGGCTTTAGTCCAGTCTTGGCCTCTTCTGCTTCACTGGTTGTTATATTGTTGTTTTGTTTCTGTTGTTTTTAGAAACCAGACCTCTTAGCTTCCAGCCAAATGGTCTCTAAATTAACTACTGTTCGCTCCCAGTCATTCCTAAACATACCTGAATGGGGGGGGGGGGGGGGTACTATAGGGAATTCATTGGTTAGAACATACTACTGGTTACCTTGCTACTACCAACTTCTCTTGCCTTCACTTTCTGGTTAAAGTGTCATTTCAGCCACCTCTGAATATAATATGTGTACGAAAACTTTGGATTTTTTATTTTATTGAATCATCACCCTTACCAATTCCTCCTTTCCTTTCAGGACATTTGCAAGTCACTTTGGTGCCATCGAGTGGGCCACAGGTGTGAGACGAAGTTTATGCCTGCAGCGGAAGGGACCGTTTGTGGCTTGAGTATGGTAAACTGCATACTTGTTAGTTTTTGTTCTAGAAACTTGATGGAGCCTAGAACCCAAACTCTTTGCGCTGCAACCTCAGAATAGAATGCCTCTCTGTGTGTATATTCTAACTTCTCATTAAATGAACCAGCATTAGCTAGCAGCTTATAAACCTCAATGCAAACGTAGCCCAGTTGGCTCGATTGTTTAAGATTTTGTTGTAGTTGTTGCTTTTTGCCTTTATTTTTTATTTTCAGCTGGAGGTTTGGGTCAAAATATTTCTCTTTCAATGAGCTGGTAGGTTTCATTGCATATTCTTTGTCTTTTAAACTTGATTCGGCATAGAAAGGCCTCAGGGAGCAGATAGCCCTTTGATAGCAAAGAAAAGATGGCCCCTCCATACAAGGCCTCTATTAAGCACTTCCCAGGACCAGCATGGAGCCTGGGATAAGCCCAGTTGAGGCCCATCACATAGTGACTCCTGTGGAAGGGTAAGCTGTGTCTCCATCTATGTTGTACCAGAAAATCCTTTTTGCTTGCCCATGTCTTCAACCCTAAGAACCACTTTCATTGTGGAAGATTATGGGTGATTTTTGTGTTTTGAGTGAAGAACTCTCACATATTAGTTTCTATTCTTCTTCCCCTGTCCCAGTAGAATCTGGAGGGAGAGGTGCACTTGAAGTTCAGTAAATGCTCCAGATTTGGGGCGTTTCTTTGAAAGGCCGAGATAAGGGAGCAATGACTGATGAAAGAGCATATGAGGTTACAGGATGTTTATCTCTGCTTTTGGCTCTCTTGAGGCAGCACAAGCCTGCATATGAAAGAATTGGTCCTTGAAAGTGAATTCAGTGCCACAATAATTTCCTGACTACTAGCTATCAGAGACAGAAAGCTCTGGGGATACACCGATGAGTAAAACTCAGTTTTATCTCTTCAAAAATTTAGTTTAGTGGGGAGACCTGTGCAGAAGCCAACAACTCTAGCTTTCTTTATAAGCACACTTTCTTTAAGCACAGAATTGCTAGCGAGGCTGATGTGAATGGGAGAGGAAGCTTGCTCGTGATTGGTGTGCTCTTAGAATCAATGACAATGAGTGGGTGCACCAAGGCGGGTGCTGGGATTTGAATTGAAGTTCTTCAGTCAGATGAGAGAGAGACTTTTAGTGACAGAGTAACAATAAAGGCAAGGATAGACACACCTGAAAATGGATGTGTCAGAAAAGGCTTTCTGATATTAGTTAAGTCATTTTTCTAATGTCTTAAAAGACTGGCAGTTTTTCACTGTTTTGTACTTTAAAGAAAATAGACATTTAAGAAGGCATTACATGCAATTTTTAATCAGATGCACCTGTCTTACGCAATCCCGATAAGGATTCTCATGAAAGCATGCACAAGAGTGGTTGGAATGACACAAAACAATGAATTAATTGAATGATTGAAAATACAGGTTCTGCTCAAGTTATTTGTATTGTTAAAGCATCAAAATTTAGAACTTCAGCTTGAAGATTAATAGATATTTTTGTCATTAAGAAAGCAACAGTATTAAATGTGAGAGGGATGTACAAGAAAATACTGATATAATAAATGAGGAAAATAGTGCATAATGGCATAGGTTAAGGTTTGTTACATACGTATATCCGGGATCTAGTTCCAGGGGACAAAAATACCCCTGAATTAGACTTCAGCTAATATAACATGAGACACATCAAGCCAGGAGTTAGAAAACAGATGTCCTAACACTTTCCCCACCCACTATTTTGAAAGACCACACTATGGATCTATATACTGGAGGAAAGCCCTTAATTGTAAGACCACCCTCTGTAGAAAGCATTCTGGTAAGTTTCACTCAGTATAATTCTTCCTCATTCATATCGATGATTCTCTGAGTCTCCCTCCACTGGGGTAATGTAGCTGGCTATTTATTAGACTGTAAACTCCATGAGGCCAGAGCTGTGTCTTACTCATGCTTTATCTCAAGGGTCTTGCAGAGTAGCAGCTACTCCATGTTTTGTTTATTCCTCTGTAACTGGAACCCAACTGAATCCTTCCCCATCTTTCTCCAGTCCCGCCCTCGTCCTTCAGTGACAGCTTTACCATGAATGTTCAGTAAATGGGTGAGGATATGGAAGCCACATTCTTTTATCTAGATCTGTGTGCAAGGAAAGAAAGGTTTGTGCTTATTGTCTATCAGTAAAGACGTTTGCCCAGCTATGGCCATTCTATTTGAAATGAGAAGCAGTGCTAGAAATACATCTGTTTGGATAGATACAGTTCTATGTGTGTCTGTTTTACAGTCACATGGTATATGTACTAGTAGAATTGTATATATACATGTGGATTGTGCATGCATGGGTATATATTCTTGTATGTTCCTGACTCCTCTACTAAATGAAGAACCCGGAGGAGACTGTCAATACTACGATACTGGAATAAAAAAGTTGAAATGATTGAAGGGTTGGAACAGAACTAAAAAACACATTTTCAAAATAGAAATTAGGTCAGGGTTCAGATACCTTGGTGGGCAATTTGCCTCCGAGGAGAGAAGTCTGTGTGTCTTGTTCAGGAGTTTTGGCTGCTGAGCTGAAATCCAGTCTCAGCTAGTTGTGTAGCTACTTGGACAGATGTGTGATTCTGGGCAAGTTAGTTAGTATCTCTTTGCTGGAGTTCTCTCATCCAGAAAATAGTTATTAACCCCTAAGTACTTTGTGAGGATTACATTAGATACTGCATCTAAAGTCCGCCTCCGTCCCCTGCCTGCACCATTTGGGGGTACATAGAAGCCACTTAATGGTAGCTGCTGTTGTTGTTGGCTGTTTGTTATTGTTATTTTGTCTCAGCCACTGAGCTCTGTCCAGGAGGGCTCGGGGACTCTTAGGGAAGATTCAGATTGGCGCTTATGGTCGATAGAATCCTCAAATGACCGATTGCTTCCTCCCCGACCCCAAAGTCCTCAACAACGTTTTAGGCTTTCGTGCAAACCCTGAAATGGCAATTAATCCGAGGGAAAGAAACAGTATAAACAGAAGAATTAATCAGTCCATGGCAAGAATTTGAAGACAGGAAGCAATATCTTGACCTAGACAAAGTGCACTAGCAAGACAATAAACAGCCACCAGCCAAATTCTGTCCAGGAGGGCTCGGGGACTCTTAGTAGGGAAGATTCAGATTGGCGCTTATGGTCGATAGAATCCTCAAATGACCGATTGCTTCCTCCCCGACCCCAAAGTCCTCAACAGTGTTTTAGGCTTTCGTGCAAACCCTGAAATGGCAATTAATCCGAGGGAAAGAAACAGTATAAACAGAAGAATTAATCAGTCCATGGCAAGAATTTGAAGACAGGAAGCAATATCTTGACCTAGACAAAGTGCACTAGCAAGACAATAAACAGCCACCAGCCAAATGGATCATGGAGGCAAAGTGAACATTTGAACGTCAAACCTCCCCGTGATCCTGTAACCGAACCCCCGCTGCTCGGCAGAACCCGGCACAGGCCTGTGGGTCTGACTGCACAGGCTTTCGGAAAAGTGTGTGCTTGCGTTAAGTCATGCAGAACTTGCTCCTAGTAAAAGCACCACAGGAAAGAAACCACTCCCAGAGGCTAACGCAACCCCCAAGGACAGAGAGGACCCGCAGCGCCTGGATTGTGTTACAGAGGAAAACTAAAAGGAAAGGTTAGGGCAGAAAACCGTTCTCGCCCTGGCGAGCACATCACTGACAAACGGAAGACCCAGAGCTAAGTCATAAGAGACCCTCAGAGTTCCAAGTCATCCAAGGGTCTTAAGTCAGGACCTTTTATACACACAAAACGGTGTTATCTAAAAGCACAGTGGAAGCTATTCAGTTTTATAAGACAAGTGCAGTTTTTAAGACCGCTATAGGTGGAATAAACAGAAATGTTTGCATGGCTGTATTTGTTTTTATGATGAGATAACCATCAGAATGGTGAATTCTGTTAATGTCTTCAAAACTGGCTCTCCGTGAGCGCATGCACACAGCGATGTCCCTAAAAGTCTAGGGAGGCTCTGTTGTCATTTTTCTGCTCTGACTTCCTTGGCTGTTGGAGGTAGAGGGGGTGATCTGGTCTGAGCATTTCACCTCCACAGCTCACAAAGCTCGTGGGTGACAGATGGCCCTTCTCTCTAGACGTCAGCTTTTCAATTTGTTTTTTTAAATGTTTTTTATTGATTTCAGAGAGGAAGGGGAGATTTGTTTTTTTAAATGTATTTTTATTGATTTCAGAGAGGAAGGGAGAGGGAGAGATAGAAACATCAGTGATGAGAGAGAATCATTGATCAGCTGCCTCCTGCACACACCCCCACTAGGGATCGAGCCCGCAATCCAGGCATGCACCCCAACGGGGAATCGAACCGTGACCTCTTGGTTCATAGGTTGATGCTCAACCACTGAGCCACACCGGCTGGGCAATGTCAGCTTTTCAAAATGCACATGGGAAATGCACACTAAGCCGCTGTTCCTACAGCGCAGCCTGGGAAGGAATGCCACCTGCCCACAGGCTCGGTTTCCCTGTCCACGGGCAAGCGTGTGCGTCTCCTCGCCCTTCCCCAGGTGGCCCTGACAGGAGACATGTCCCATGTTCTTTCCACAGTGGTGTCGCCAAGGCCAGTGTGTGAAGCTCGGGGAGCACGGCCCCCGGCCCGTCCACGGCCAGTGGAAAGCTCGCTAGGGGAAGGAATGCCACCTGCCCACAGACTCGGTTTCCCTGTCCACGGGCAGGTGTGTGCGTCTCCTCGCCCTTCCCCAGGTGGCCCTGACAGGAGACATGTCCCATGTTCTTTCCACAGTGGTGTCGCCAAGGCCAGTGTGTGAAGCTCGGGGAGCACGGCCCCCGGCCGGTCCACGGCCAGTGGTCCTCCTGGTCCAAGTGGTCAGACTGTTCCCGGACGTGTGGCGGAGGAGTCAAGTACCAGGAGAGACACTGCAACAACCCCAAGTAAGGCTCCGCAGCAAGTGAGGCTGTGTCAGGCATTAACCCTCAGCCGGTAACATACTGCTTCTGTTTGTTTTACGGGCAGTTTTCTTCGCTCTGGCTCATAGCAGTCATCGAGGGTCTTAGGGCTGCATGTAAAAAACGGCAAGGAGTGATTCCCCGGGTGAATAGTCTGATCAAGGGCTCCAGCAATGGTAGTAACGGTCCGTCCAAGCTACTCACTTTCTGAGTCTAAGTTAGGGCCGCACAGTCACACACCCAAACGCCGTGCAATTGGGGACCAGAGAGGCTTGGCTGGGGGAGCGTGTGTCTCTCAAAGTGATGAATTGGAGAAAGTATGCTGATTTTTGCCTCGCAGGAATGTACAGCAACACGTGTTGACAGATCTGTCTGACTTTGCAAGAGAAACCAGAAATCTAAAAAAAATGTGTGTGAATTTTCCTAATTTCTAAAATATCGACGACAAGTTCAATTTTCTTAAAAAAAAAAAAAACCCACACACATCATGAGGATTAATCAAAATGTCCATGGATTGAAATTGGCCCATGATCACCTGTGGGCACCCTCTGGTCTGGTCCGGGGATTCTGAACTAGTTTGTGCTGTGTGGAGAAGGGGGTTTAATGCTACTTTTATGGGCTCGCGACGACAAATTCAATTTTCTAAAAAAAAAAAAACAACCCACACACATAATGAGGATTAATCAAAATGTCCATGGATTGAAATCCGCCCATGATCACCTGTGGGCACCCTCTGTTCCGGTCCGGGGATTCTGAACTAGTTTGTGCCGTGTGGAGAAGGGGGTTTAATGCTACTTTTATGGGCTCTAATTCCCACAGGAAACATGTATGTTTCCGAATTGACATGGTTCTGTAGAAAGAGCCCAAGTTCAGGAGACAGACTGATATGACCCCAAATGTCTGGCCTTCCATGTATTCACGGTGTGGCTTTGGGAAGGTCATGTGAGCTGTGAGCTTGGGCCTATGTGTATAGAATGGAGATGATAATACCTAAAAGGTTTGGGGAGGATTAAAAATTGCACCTGTAGAATCTCTGACACACCAAGGGGCATCTAATGGGCATTCGGCGAAGGTTCAGAGGTCCATGTGGTTTTCATCATTTCATCTGAAAGCTCACTAGGAACATAGGGCAACAGAGGGCCGGCCCTCAGAACACTGGGGAGAGGCCTGACTAATGCAACTGGACTTGGGCGGATGCTATGGAGTAAGGAGGATGTGATGGGATAACACAGGGCAACAGAGGGCCGGCTCTCAGAAGCAGTGGGGAGAGGCCTGATTAATGCAACTGGACTTGGGCGGATGCTATGGAGTAAGGAGGATGTGATGGGATGCTGGAAAATAGAGGTGTTGATTTGTACAACATAACCGGAGTGGTGGCACAGCGTGGGGGATGGGAATACAGACTCGGTCCCAATCACCTGGGTTGGCCTCGTGGCCCACCGCTTCCAGGGCTGTGGCCATGGACCACAGCCTCTCCCACTCAAGGTTCCTCACTTATAAAGTAGGATAAAGATAGTACCTTCATCAACTGAGTTCATATTTGTAAAGTGCTCTTTAAAAGCGCCTGGCAGGTTGCAAATATCGCAGGACTGCCTGGTAGGTTGAGAACTAAAATAAATAATGAAACGAAAGCCCAAGCAAATTTGTAAAGAGACAGTGATACTTTGTGTAAGTGAGCTGGGTCAAGAGGCCATTTTGTTCCAAAATACCAGGGAGGGTTGGGAGATACATCAACCATGGCTTGCTAGGCACACATTGGGCTATCTCAGGCTAACGTAGAATTTCTCAATGTCGGCACTATTGACAGTTTATTTTAATTTTTTTAACTTACTGATTTTAGAGAGAGAAGGAGAAGGAGAAGGAGAAAGAGAGAGACAGAGAAAGAGAGATCAATTTGTTGTTCGATGTATTTAGACATTCACAGGTTGATTCTTGTATGTGCCCTGACCAGGGATCGAACCCACAACCTTGGCGCATCAAGACAACACTCTCAACAACTGAACTACTCGGCCAGGGCACTGTTGACATTTTAAGCTGGATCGTTATTTTTTTTTATTGATTTTTTTACAGAGAGGAAGGGAGAGGGATAGAAGAGAGAGAGATCAATTTGTTGTTCGATGTATTTAGACATTCATGGGTTGATTCTTGTATGTGCCCTGACCAGGGATCAAACCCACAACCTTGGCGCATCAAGACAACACTCTCAACAACTGAGCTACTAGGCCAGGGCACTGTTGGACATTTTCAGCTGGATCATTATTTTGCTGTGGGAGTTGGCCCTGTACATGGCAGGAGATCGTTATTTTGCTGTGGGAGTTGGCCCTGTACATGGCAGGATGTTTAGCAGCATCCCTAGCCTTTCCCCTCTTAACACCCCTCCCCACAGTCTCCAAGTTATGACAACCACACTGTCTCCAGACCTTGCCAAATGTCCTGTAGGGGCAGAGTCATCCCCAGCTGAGACTGACTGCCCTAGTTAGACCCAGTGACTGTGTGTAATGGTAGGGAGGTTTGTGATACATGTACAATTTATATCAGGTTATTAAAACCACTCTTGTCTACTTTGAACACAGCCCGTGTCTTGGATAGGATTGTTAAAATTCATCATATTACTTTTCATTTTTGCAACATATTTCATGGATCTGGTTTTCATACTTCACTACATTTTACAGTCTCAATTTTTTTTCCCCAAGAAAGAAATAGATTGCCTAATTTAACAGCCCTTCTGGTAAAGTGCATGAATGACGCCCCTGAGATTTAAAGGAAACCTCTCCCATATCTTTGGGATTGAGAGCTCTCATGATAATAGGGCATTGTTCGTGGACATACCCTATCATAATTTTAGAGATGCCTAATAGAAGAATTAATCACTAAAGTAGTTCCATTTGGTGCAGTTTTAATTTTAAACAAGTCTAGTCAGGGTACTGTTTGCTTTCATTAAGTTCGAAGTCACAAATGAAACAAGCTAGTGGTCGACTATCCCAAGGCCATTGGGTTAGATCAGTGGTTCTCAACCCTGGCTGCACATTAGAATCACCTGGGAATCTTTTTAAAATCCTGATTTCTGGGCCTCATCCTCCGGAA